TGTTATCCTGTGCGAAATCGGTATGCAGTATGCCGATTCCCACAGGATAACAGAGTCCTGTGCGGTAAGTTATCTTTTTAATACTGATCGATTACACATATTTTCAGTACACGATTACATCCACAATTACACGATTATATCCACAGTATTTTCAGAGAGGAATTGTCTTATAGCTAGACCCATTCCACAGTTTGTCTAAAAGCAATTAAAGTTTACCTCGGGCTTGTGAGCGAACTTCCTCTAAGTAGCGGTTGGTACTAGCGAGATCGCTGCCGTTAACGTAGTATCGGTTAGCGCTGATGTTGTGTCTCAGCCGCAGATCATCGAAAATTCCCGTACACATCGGTACGTAAATATACAGCTGTGCGTCATTTGCGTCATCACACAGCACTCCGACAGTCGTAAATTTGAAAGCCTTTAAGATTTCCACAACAAATTTTGTCAGATCCTCTTGTATATACGGCGATAATCTCGTTAATGTTGGGTAACGTGTTTCTGTGGAACATTAGTTTTTTACCAAACGGTACAAAAAACACAGCAATGAGTGGGTACCCTTACTGGCAGAAACTGCAGCGTCACCAGCTACTCTAAATAACAAAACAGCAGAACATTAAACCATGGAACAGTTCGTTTTGAAAACAGCACAAAATACCCTTCAGGTCAACTTCAAATATTCAGAAAAAATATATAAAATTGAACGAACTTACGCTATAAGCATCTGCTTATTCCATGCTACAAGCAAAACAGGTTTGACACATGCCAGATGACCTTTCTTATATGTAAGTATGTACAATGACCGATATTCTGTACCTCGAGCCAAATGACCCACAGATGCGGCAGCGGTCGGACATCCTAAGCAATTTACAAATCGTCTGAGACTGTAACATAAGCAGTAACCTTCATCCGCACGATTAACAATCTGCTGCTGTGACTCTTACTTTTTAAGCCAAATTTTCTAGTTTAATTAATACTTTAAATACAATATATATTAGTTCCCAAAAATTTTGAAATGACCTCCGCTTCTTTTCAGCGCTTAATCTTTCATTCGTACCTGGTCCAAATAAACCCATTACTGGATTGCCCACAGCTTGCCTGTAGAAATACCGAGTAGCCCAAAATGTGGCTTTTGGTCCATCATCTCACAGGTTGTCACGTTAGGATCCGAAATGCGCACTTTAGAAAAATTCATAGCATTCCCATACTTTGAAGAGATTTCTCTTACACCAAACTCAAAGATTGCCCCGAAAATGCATCGCTAGTGGTAGTTCGATTTCCCACCAACACAAATTCCACAATAGCCACGTCAAAACCGTTTGCAAGGAGAAATATATGCAAAGGTCACGAACACAAATATCACAGTTGCATATGCCTTAGCCATTCTTTGCATATGTGGCATAGCTGTAAAGCCAGCTAGCCACACTTTTAGCATACAGGAATTACCAGCTTGTAGATATTGTTGCACGAAGCTTCCGAAGCACGTTCACTGCATAAGTTTTGTGGCACTTGAAATGCATTTTCTGACAACGCGCTCCCTTTAAATATGCCCGGCTAGTTCTGGGCCTCCTCACCTGCTGGATATCGTATTGTTTGCTGATCAACAGCAGCAGTTTTAAAACAGGATACCAGCAGGAAACAGACTTTACTTGTCCATACATATCAGCTAACACTGTTTACCTTTGCTGCAGATGTGTAATCTTGCGAGTGATTTGCCATAGGCTCACGATAGCATTTGTAGAATACATTACTGCAGTTCTCAAATGTTTTTTAAGTAACTGTCTACTTAATTGGGATAATTATGTGAATGCGATTTTTCTTTTCTTTTTTGCTGCATCGCCTGACGGTGTGGGTTTTACCGGTATCGGTGTCAACAAGCTGGCAGGAACATGAAATTATTTCATAGAATTACTCGTATGTTATTGCTGTACGATCGATCGTATTCCATAGATCTGTGCAGCGCAGACTTTGTCTTAAAACTTAAGTAGTAAAGTTTGGTTTAGTAATATTAAAGTTTATACCTGTTTGTACTCTGGATATGACCTAGTTAATATGTATGTACACATTACCTACGAAACGTTAACACAACTGTGAATGAAACTTGCTATAAAACGTTTGTGAAGAGGAAAGCGTTTCGTTGCTCGGAGCGAATACACGAATTAGTAATTACAGCAATCAGCCATTCAGGAGAACTGTGCAATCATGGCGGACCACGCTAGAACATTTTCTGATGTTGTGATAATTTGCTAAGTAAGGGAACGAATTAGTTTCTCACCTCGACTGTTGCGTTGGATTTCCTTGAGTTTATCATCCAGATCGGCCGCGCTGAAGTTAGCCTGTGGGTTGAATGCCGTCCGCCAGGCATTCACGTTTTTTAGGCGCAATGTATCAAACATATACCGGCAACTAATGTAGTAAGATGGGAAGACGCCACTTTCCAGAGAATCATCACATAGACAACTGACATTTGTCCAGTGAAAATATTTCAGGATAACCAACATCAAATCAACAGCTTGGTGGTTCTGGTATGGCGAAAGTCGGATCAGTGTCGGGAATCGTTTTTTGTCTTGAAGTCCAAGAGCGGTGTCTATTCCCAAACTGTTATTTCCATCGAAAACAAATCGTGAGGTGGAACATGAATAAATTCAACTCGATTACTCTGTAATCCAACTTACTTTGTAAAAAAAGGCACGTTCCAGGCTGCAATCAGCAATATAATTAAAGTCTGTTAGTTTGAAACATCTACTGTACAAAAAGTTTCGTTTCCTCATCCGCACATGTACGAGTACTACACTGAAGCGTGCAGTAAGCTAGCTAGTAGCAGATACCTCTTGCTAAATGACCCAAACTGGCAACGGCTCCTCCACAACCTAAAAAGATAGTACTAATAAGTCCTGGTTACAACTGTTGGAATTTTACCACAGATTTACAAATGCTTGCATGCTTATTTATATGAAATTGATTCTGTCGTTAACAAACCCATATACTGCTGGGCAAAGAACGTAAGCGACTACTACGAGTAGCTAATTACAGTCCAAACAATATTGTCGGCGTTGCACCTCGTAAGCGGCTGTTTTTTTTTATCTATATGGGGATACAGGTACAAACCACCAACTATACAGACTATCTTGGCCGTTAAAAATTAATGTGCACAATGAACAAGAAGACAGTTATTCACAATTCACAGGCAATAAGGCTGTAGGAGCTACCTGACGCAGTTGTTATGCACTGCCATACTTTACGGCACTTGGGTTTGACCATTTCCGGTCCGAATCGAAATCCTCAAAGGTGAATACGGAAGTACATTAACGTTTTCCTACTGTTTTTGCTTAAAACACATAATGCCTCAAAATTTTGGTAATGATAACAAAATTTTTCTACCTGGTCCAAGAAACACCAACGTGGAGCCTTTTCCTCCTTGCTCGTAAAAGAATTTCGATGCAAAAAAGGGACCTCGCGCCTCCAAATTGGAACATGATGTTCCAGGTGTCTCGCCACCGGGTATGGAAATAGCGTGTGAAAAGTTCCCGAATTCGCCGTATGTGGTTTGGAGAGCATCCACTCCATAATCCATAACCGCCGCGGAAGACCTGAACCCGAATTCCGTTGTAGATCCATTATTGATAACCGTTAATAAGACGATGTTCAGTGATGTGGCATTTTTCCCGGCAATGTGGTTACCGCAGTACAACAACACAGCCGAAACGAAAATAGCCCGCCTTAATTTTGCATCTTTCTGTGAGTGTAAGTTCCATTGGGGCAATAAGCACATTGCCGGAATTTGTATCCAGACCGTTCTGTAATTATTAGCAGTTAAACAACCGATACTGCAACAAGTTTAAACCGATGTATGATAGTTTTGACACTGGCTGAGCTAATTAATGATACAGCGTTCAATCCGAAAAACTTGAACATTTCCAGGAAATCGCAGAATTTCAAACTACTGCACCATTCCAGTCCATGTGTAGCGACATAAAAAAGCGTTTTCATTCTGTTTAATTATTACATTGCATATAGTTTCAACTAATTGTAAAATTAAATAATATAATTAATTCAGTTTTTAAATTTAAAACAAAAATAATCGCACTAAACGCTGTAGCAGCCGTTTTACCAATTACTTACTTATCGAAATCAAGTACCGAAATTGTTCTCTACGGTCTTGTACCTTTTCGAAATGTACTGACGTACGAAGTCAATGCGAGGGCACATTCATGGTTCCATCATCATCTGGGTGCCTGCAATATATTTCTTCTCTGTTTTCTGTAAAAAGAGCTAACCAAAAAACTAAGAGCTAGTCGATAGTATGGATCTAAAGGGAAACATACCGAGCATTTGCCGGCCTGGCGCGTTGCCTGTGGTTCAAATGTCGAACGATCATTTTGTGAATTTATCCTGTACTATTATGTACACACACTAGGAATATTTTTGCGTGTGCGGTTAGCAAACAAAGTAGCACAATTATCGTATACCATGGAATATCGCATAGGAATATATTGCAAAACAACCGGTCACAACAGAGCCTGGAATATATTTGGTTTTGCGTACCAAGAGGCATCTTATAGTTAAACGCACACGATACGATGCCTTGCTGCGGTCACGCAAGCTCATAATAATCAATACAGATATTTTCCAATCACTTGGAACTCTCGCACATCGGATACAATTTACCTGTCGGCTTCGCCTAGCTAATGCCATTGCAAACAAGCACTTCATTCTTTCGTCGTGTTGAATTTGCATTTTTATGTCCTGGGGTTTTTGCATAATTGGAAAATAAGTATGTTCCTTCTTATGACCACGTCATTGTACAATGAACATGTGCACGTTTAATTGAAGTGTAGACAGGAATACTGCAAGCTGAGTCTTTTAAATGTCGACCTTGACCATTCCATTTCATCTTTCCACGCAAGGAACTACAGTGGAACATATTTGTCTTAATACCCGTAATCGTGTAGAAATATTGTACTCTATCTATCTGACTATCTGTACATTTTAATACATTTTTAATTCATTTTATTACATTTTTAGGAGAATGGCGGCGTGACTAGAATAAATACAGCCATTACACGAGCACGCGCCTGCAGTTTTTGTTCCCATTTGATAAAATTAAGTACGTACTTCTAGCGCATGATGACTATTATCATTTTTGTGATATTTTGTATTGGCAATCTTGTTTTATTGCGAACTCGCATCTGCGCGTTGGTTAATCCGCTATCGCAATGGTCAAGTTCAAGCATTATAGAACATATAAAGTACGTGCAAGAATTCATTAAAACCTATCAAATTTTTATCCAAAGTGCGATTTTGTCCCCAATCAGACTGGAATCTATTGGCTTCAATCTTTAGATGGAACGCCGCAATTTCGGCCAGCATCATTTCGATTAGATGTGAAAGAATGCGTCTGTTATTATGTCCTACTCTGTCTGCCACACAAGACTGACCACAGCACACTGTCAGTATGCCCAGTTGTCCACACTGAGACGCTTGGGCTAAATTGAGGATGTATCATTTGCGCCCGTCTCTCAGCTTCGTATTCCGTGTGGTTGGTTTATGAACTTTGGGCTTGTGGAAGAGAAGCCAGCCAAATAGAGCTGTCAAATATACCCGTGATTATTATGTGGATGAGCATTCGCTGACCAGAAAATTTTTATTTCGGCAAGCAGCAAGCTACATCTTTTTGATTCGTTTTAAATCCAGCTATCCATCGCAACTATACCGTTCCTCTTCGGGTCAGCGCGTCCGAATTAACCTTGTACAAGGTAGGCAGAACTTTAACATTAGAACGAAACTATTTTCACTGCAAGATTGAGTGTATATCTTGTATATAAAATTTTTTAAAGAATACTATCGAAACTTAGCTCAGTCAATGTTGTTAGTGCTTAACTTAATCGAGTGATATTAATGTCAAATTGATGTTTTCTATGGTATAATTCAATGATTATCTGATTTGGGAAGGTAGCTGACATCTTAGAACGCTCCAAATGATCTTTACGCATCATGACGCCGCCGCCATTTTGTGACCCTATAAAATTCTAAACGATCAAAGCGGTGTAATTTTGCCGGTAATTCAAGGCTTTTGTTCAAGAATTGTGCTGCTTTATAGCGGTTTATTTTTCGTAAAATCGTTTTAGTGCAGCAAACCAGAAAATATAAAGAATAAGAATTAATAGATTTGAATATCTCGACACTCGTGGATCTTCTCAGTATAGGCCTACACGCAATATTTGATAGTATTCGTATGTAAAAATCACTGAAATTGCGATAATTTGCAGCGCAACAATGGACAGTAAAGCTGATCAGCCACTATTAGAGCCCACTCAGCGCCATCCCAGCTACATCCACGCCGAGACGAAGGAATTCTATGAAAAGGATCCGAAAACCGTGGAGCACATTGAACATATTGAGCTGCATGATGCCGAAACACCGCTGACCACTGCTGACGGAGCACAAGGGGAAACGCTCCAGGTTACGACCACCGAAACCACCACCGACGTCAGAACCGGTAAAACCAAGACCAAGACCGGCAAGCATGCGGCACAGCATACACCGCTGACCATCGGCCTGAATGTGCTGGATCGGGATGAAAAGAATATTAATGGCCAAGTCCATGTGAGTACTCATACTGCTATTAGCTGTAGTAAACGTGGCTTTCTCATGTGATCATAATCGACATTGGCATGCATATAAGCGTGAGTCGGCGTGACTATATGCTCGCACTTGTAATGCGGTACACCGCTTTTCCCATCACTTCAACAACAAAAGATAAGTAGAAACTGCAAAGAATCGCTTAGTGAAAACCCTTTTAAATTTACGGCTGCATAATAATATTTCGTGAAATGTTTGTCTGAAAAATTTTTAACCCAATGCTTTGTATATTTCATACCATATGCAGGCATTAGGCAGCAAAATAGTGGAGACAAGAACGTCACACGTTACAACTGTAACTTTTAGGGGCATAAAAAATTTGTTACCAATTGTGTATGTTTATTTATTTGGGGTTCTTGCATTTTCCAAACCGGAAAATTTCTAGCAAAATTTTAACAAACAAGAATTCGTAAAACGGCCAATGACATTAGATTTTATTTGTACCCGAGGGTTGTGAATCAATGTGCTTAAGTGGTAACCTGGCCTTGTCAGCAGATTTATTCCGATAGTCAACTGTCCAAGACTCCAAGACCAGCGTAAACATAAGCACATAAATTACTACATTTTGTAATATTATTCTATTTGGTTGTGATCTATTGGGGCTGAATGTTCTAAACTGACCATGCACATGAATCCATTAGTGCAACATCTGGCGTACGTTTCTAAATTCAGACGATACTAATCCAGCATATAAACAGATGGATATGTATTGTACATATCCATCTGTATGTGCAATGCGTATCGATGTATTGCACATAATGCACATTAATCTTATTAATGTAACATGTATCGGGTAACTTTCAAAATTCTGAATAGACTAGACTGATATGTCGCCAAAGTATATTTATCTCGAAAACATGAAAAAATCCTGGAAGCGATTTGCCCACCATGAAGACGTTATCTTAATACACAAATTCGTGAAAACTTTGAAACCACACAAGTTACACATGACCTTTATCGTCTTCTGCCACCTGACAAAATTTCATTCACGGTCATCGCTTGACTGATCGCTGGTCCATTGAAATGGTCTTACAGTTTATTTTGGTTAACTGTTACCGATTCGGTTTGGTAATCTGGTCGATCGATTGCTAATTGTTAAAAATCGTCGGTCGGGGTTTCGTTGATAATAATTGCAAAGCATTGAGTGACTTTATTAACTATATGGGTTTTCCAGATTATGTTCGATGATGTTCTCGCTGAGCCGGATGGGACGCACGGCTTCGAGCCAGTATGGCGTGGAACATTCGTCATGTTCCACTGGACCAAGCTCTGGATGTACCGGCTGCTTGTGGCTATTTTCGCGCTACCGCTGGCATTCGTTTGGGGTGCGTAAATGTGAACATTTGAACGTGCAGTCCAGTGTGTAAAATAAATAGCGATCCAGAAATTTTGTCATTGAATAGCGATCCAGAAATTTTGTCGTTGGTAATCAGACTCAGATCGTGTGGTGTTGCGTTTTGGTAACTTGGAGTGGGTTTTTCGTGACCTTTTACGATATTTTTCAGGTCTGTTGTTCGCGTTGGTTATTGCCATCAACAACTATTTCTGCACACCATTCTTCAAATTGTTCTCCATTGTTTTCTTCTGGATTGGACGTGTAAGTATTCGGCTTAGCATAAAGAAAGTGCTGTAGCTTTTATTTGGTAATGTAACTAATGTTTATGTTGTAGATCTGGGGCACAGTTTTCCGGGAGGTCTTCTACCCTGTCTTCGATTCGTTCGGACGCTGCTTTTCTGGCATTCGGGTCGCTTATGGCGGCAATACGAAAACCTTCGATGGACCATTCCGCGAAGCAGTGAACAACGTGGGAACCAACACGACGTGCGGAAAACAGCCCGCAACTGGTCCATACGGAGCTGGCAGCAATGCCCCAACCTGGGCCTAAAGACCGCTGGCAGACATTCGGAATTGCTCATATTCAGTAATACATGTATCCTTGCGCAACCTTGAGAGCAGCTGGTTAACTTCAAATGTTTAAAATGCGATTTTTTATTTTCATGGTGTAAGTGTACCGTGTACGTAATGGTAACGTTTATAAAAAATCATTGATGTCTGGTATCAGTTTAATATAATCACTGTGTTGGAGCAGGAATACTCAAAAGTCAAACCGTTTTTTATGGGATGACATCAGTTTGTTAAGTTCAAAGTTTTTTGTGGAACATAAAGTAATAATGGAAAAAATTAAGAAATCGTTTGTTCAGTCAAGGGAGCATTCGCTAGACATGGCGAGACTTTAAAGCACGTAGCACAACAGTTGCAAATTTGAGCGATTTAAAACGGAAGAAGACATGGGCGGATACAAATCATTCAATTACTATAAGAATGCAACAGCGCATAAGTCAAGACCCGCATTCCGACGTCGAAATTTTGTCAGCATATATTACAAAGCCTAGGCGCAAATAGCCAAACACAACTGCAAAGACAGCCAGGAACTTTATCCACATAAAATAGGCCAGAGAAGAAAATCACGCCAGAAATTCTAGGCAAGTCAATCCTACTCGGTCTCTTCTTCAATTTTGGGAGCCAGGTAGTAGCGGATGTGGCCGACCTCCACCATCGGATACTCAATGCACAAAGGATGATTGTTGGACATACACAAACGCACCGTCGGAGACAGCGGCGTAGCCTTAGCAAAATTGTTGAGATATTTCAGAGCGAAAGTCAGCGTGACTGGGTTTTCCAATTCAATGGAGATCTCATCCTCCGGTTTTTCCACTGTACCACTTTTTGCTCCCAGACGAATATGCCCTGCAAAACAGCGATTTCATAAATTTCACAAAACAACAAAAACCGGATGGAAGAAACGAAAATTATTTGAGAACAAGAAAGGACGAGAACTGAAAATTACTGGGAACAGAAAACTTTTAAGAACGGTACAGATTTTAAGAAGGTACAAATTTGTATAATACAGCTAACTTTAAATCAATTTATGTTTTTGCGTCAAGTCAAGAAGATTACCCGGACAGAAATTAATGTAACGCAACCCAAAGATACGTTCCTTTCAATATTTACTTCATAATTTTAAAGAATGGGTAGAAAAAAGGAGCCCCAATCTGAAGAAAAAACGACAAAAAAATGGAGTACGTATGAGTAGAGAAGGACCATGATAAGACCAAAAAACAGGCCAGCTTATCATCTCATGTCAAAAACATCGTAATAAAAGTTTTATTCGGCAACAGCCAGTATCCATACAAATGCGCCTGCGCGGATTTAAACTACTTAAGGCGATCAAATTTAAACAATAAAAAAATAACCGTAATCGTTGGCGTCGTTCGAATTCTTAGACACTCTATTCAGTGTGCCAAAAACAGCTGCAGCATTTCCTCTAACGATGTTTTAACCAGCTTAGCGATAGTCAAAGTGACAAAGGTGAAAAACTACTCATTGAAGATATTAGAGAATATCCAAATTTTCAACGTGCAGTGGATATTATCACAATAATCACCTGTTCCGATATCTCCCTGGGCCTCAAAACGCACATCGGCCTTCGCACACGATATGGTAACGCTGTCACCAAATTGGCTCAAATCTGCGCAGACGCGGCGAAACTCCTGCGATGGCATCTTGATGATGCAGTCGTACGCTGTGTCCTAAATATAAAAAAGTTTAATAAGGTTTACTGCATTCTGTAAAGAGTTCTGAAGTGTTCGAACTTCGAAGTAATTTATAAATAAACGTCACAAGCGTTTACTAATAGCAGGTTATCAGGGATGGTCTTATTAGCAGACAGGATGTTGGCTAGTGAAATTTTTTCACTGGCCCCTGACTATTTCAACGAATTAACGGCTATTAACCTACCGGAATGCCCAAATGTTCCACATCTATGTTCATCAGTTTAAGCTCGAATTCCGCAGAACGATCCTGAAAAACAATAATCACGCATTTTTCAATCCAGTTTTTCGTCTGTTCATGCCAGCCCAAGAACCCAGTCCATTCAAGTTTAGCAAACTCTCCCATAAACAGCAAAATATTCCCCACAGTTTAACCACCAGGTGCGTACCCCGTCCGGGCTCTCAAAGATGAAGCTGGCGCTGCTGCTATCCCCATCGGTCTTGATGGCCACACTGTCGTCCGGGCCAGCGCAGCGGAGAACCTTGGCCATGGAGCTCAGATTGATGCCCATGTTCAAGTTCCTGTCGCACTTGTACCGCTCGAAGCCCTCGCATTTCAACATAACATTCACCAACGCCACGTGGGAGCTATCCATGGACTGGAGGCTCATGCCCGTATTCGTGCAATCCCATGTGCATTCACCCAGCAGATCCTTGATGGCTTCAATGATCTTCTTCAGCAGGCTGGCGTGATCCATCTTGGCTTCGAAACCAATGTTGGCGTTGACAGGCATCTTGGCGGGTTCGTAGGATCACAATACTGGCTCAGTTAATAAATTACCCAAGGTACAACTGACCGTATAACAAATCTGTAAAAGAAGTTTTGAGAATAGAATCAAATTGCGTAGGATTCAACAAAATTTAGACGAACTGTGTTAATCTTCGAAGACAAACGAAGTAGTACGTATATTCAAACAAAGTGAACGGTGACTAGTGCTATCCGTTTGCCCGCTTTTTGCTGGATCGCATACATCACATTCACGCAGATGGCGCTTTTAACAAACAGAGCACACTGCAAAACCGCGAAAATTCATAACCGTACGACCGTCTATATGAGAATGATCTATAATAAACCAAAAAAGTATAAAATTTTCTAAACTAACCAAAAAAATTATCCTGTTAAGATATCTCCATTGAAAGGAGTTGGCTAGTGTTGAGTGAGAATAATAATCATAAAAATCACAATAATAATAATAGTGCTTCTGTTAGTAAATATTTATTTTTAAAGACTTTATTTTCTATAATGAACACTTCTGTAACAGTTCTGTTGTTCACGTTATAGTGTTATACACAGTTAACCAATCACTCAATAGACGGGCATCGAATGCATAGGATGCGCCATACGGTCATACACCACTGGAAGTTTTTTGTTTGAGATAGAAAAAAACATTCAAAGAAAACAGTAAAAAATCGGACGCATGCAAACGCAGACGTACAGTAAGTCAGTAACGTACCGGGGATACAAATTTACGATTATTATAAACATACAGCAGGTCAAAAAATAGATTCCGTACAACAAAATCACTTCAACACAAATTAAACGTACCGTACAACGTCTTAATTACTGTAACATAATTATTAGTGTGCTTCTTTTGAAACATAAAACAGCTGCCCTTTGCGATGGCATTATGCGACTTTATGCAGAACTCTTGGCTCTTCCTCCGAAAATGGCTGGGTTTACATGCTCAACAATTTATTATATTCAGGCAGTTTTGTCTTTTAGCAGTATGATGCGTTCGCGGTACGATGCAGTCAGAAAACTGTTAACACAGACCGTGACAGACGTAAAAGACTTGAGAAAAATGAAAACAGCTTTTCCGGCTCAAAACGCTTGCGTAAAAAGTTGCGTTACACGGTTACAGGTGCTTACTAACGTGCTCGGACCCTATTCGTACGGTCGTTACTATGCATTACCAACAGCGCATGCCGTAAAATCCTCGTTTAGCATTTTTCACTTCCCGGGACCCGGAAACGAATTAAATTTCAGAATTGCACATGTTGCTGTTCCAAATTATTAATAATTTTTATTTATGTACAGATACTGCCTTCGTGCCATGCTTCCGTCGTCGCATTCAGTTAGCTATTAAGTTTTAATTAGCTATCATCTGTATTCTGTAATAATTAATTTTCCGTTTCACATTCATATCGTTCAGTGTATCTCACAATCAGTCGGAAGAATTTTATCGCTTGTTAACGGACAAGATGCTTGTTACTTAGTTCTTGCTTGTTGTTGCTCCAGTTAGGCGTCCATGCTTAAATTGTGTGCAGCATGTCTGTGAAGAATTCTGTTCCCTCCCATGCGATACTGAATCGGGCCTCATCCAATTTTGAAATCCAGCGATTAGATTCATCTAGCTCGGCCTCTTCTCGAGGCACGAGCAATCCGCTGATGAAAAAGCTAAAAAACTCTTGCGCTTGATGAAAAACCAGAGGAATCTCCTGAAGGACACCAGACATGTAAGAGTACAGCTGCGCATTTTTTGTATCCCGTCAATGGATCTGTCTGTTTAGCCTGTTGTCTTTGAATCATTACGTGCCAGCAATCCCTTTTCCTAGATTTTAAGCGTAATTCTGCGATTCGAAGTGTAGGTAACGTTTTTCGTGGTTTCAGGGATCATCGTACATTTTCGGGAGCCCAGTGTCTACCATGCCTTGGTTGTCATATTCCTGGAATTCTTCGCATGGGGACTTCTCACGACCCCCATGATTTCCGTGAGTGCATTTATAAGTAAATTTATGGCTAAAAACTTACTAGACAACATAAAAAGTAATTAACATTGTTATGGTTGAAAGTTATAAGAACTTGAGTGACTTGCAGTCACTTGCTGTGTTGCTGTGTTGAATCACTGTAACTTGATTTCCGATATGATGTTAATGACAGCAAATATGCATCTGCGGTAAAGATACTGGGCATTGGCGCTGATTAAGAATTACTATGATAAAGTTCTTTAATGAAGTTTAATATTTCAGGTACTTAATAAAACTTTTCCAGAGGATACGTTTTTAATGAATGGAATTATTGTTGGTATCAAGGTGAGCTCAAAGCACTGGAACATTATTCGTGATCTGAGTAAAGTTGAATTTTGTTTTACTTTCGTTTGTAGGGTTTGTTGTCTTTTGAGTGCTCCTTTAATCGGCGCTCTTTCGGATTCGTGGGGCAGAAAAACCTTTCTGCTGATCACCGTCTTCTTTACTTGCCTTCCCATACCGTTTATGATTGTTAGTCCTGGGTAAGTGGTCCGGGAACTTGAGTTCCACAAAACGATGGCTAGCTAAATCTGGGAATCATTTGCCCGATTTATGTTTAACTGGCAAAAATCTTGATGTCTTCCCGATATTCGTTGCGGTTGGCATTGATCATAAAGTATTCATAAATGGTAAATGCACAGTGCGAATTCTATTTACTGTTTTCAGTTACCGTAGCTTATTGAGAAGTGAGCATGTCGAACATGATATCGGTTAGTTAATTCTGTGTAATTAAGTTATGGAGATATGTTATAGTTTTCTTTTCTGAGTATATTAATTTCAGTTTTAATTCGATGTTTCTGTTGCAGATGGTACTTTGGACTGATCTCAATCAGCGGAGTGTTCGCTGTCACGTTTTCTGTAGTTTTCGCTTACGTTGCGGATATCACTGACGAAAGTGAAAGAAGTCAAGCGTACGGTCTGGTGCGTTTTTTTGTCCGTACTTGTTTATTATGAGGGACAAACCGGATCACAACTTGAAAGTGGATTTCCTTTCTTACAGGTTTCGGCTACATTTGCAGCCAGTCTTGTGACCAGTCCCGCACTGGGTGCTTTTCTCAGTGATATTTACGGCGAGGAAGTGGTGGTGGCATTGGCCACAGCCATTGCACTACTGGATGTGCTTTTTATTTTATCGTTCGTCCCCGAATCGCTTCCAGAGAAAGCCAGATTTGCTAATTCATCGAACTTTTCGTGGGAGAGTGCCGATCCGTGTTCAGTATGTGCTCAAAAAAAACTGAATTACCGTACAGCTGCTGTATTGCTGCTACTATTAAAATTAAAATAACTTACAGCCTGTAATTAAGCTTTTAAGTTTGTTATTTGTGGATTTTGTAGTGGTTTGTGTGAAATTTTGTTGTTACGAGGTTCTGAATGTGGATTTGCATGCTCTTAATAATTAGCTCAGCATTCGTGGTCCTTTTTCGAACATAAAGGGTGTCCCGGGCGTTATTTCAGTGTTTCTTGAATGGCTGAGTTCATAAGTATACTATTTTTCAGAATCTGAAGAAACTTGGGCACGACCGAGTGATCCTTATTGTGAGCCTAACGACTTTCTTGTCGTATTTGCCTGAAGCTGGTCAAGTTTCGTGTATATTTGTGTATTTGCGGTTGGTAAGTCTTGCCGTCGGATAACTTTACGATGCGATGGTTGCTGGACTGAATTGTTGTCAGGTTGTGGGATTTTCCATGGAAATGGTTGCCGCCTTCATCGCTTTTGTGGGAATATTGTCCGTAGTCGCTCAAGTAAGTAAAACTTTTTCTCGCAACTCACTGACATGACGAATCTATAATTTTGTTTTTGCTTTTCAGACTGTGTTATTAACTCATTTGATGAAAACTTTGGGTAGTAAAAAAGCACTATTGCAGTCGGCCTAATTTTTGAAGCGCTGCAGCTTTGCTTGGTACGGCTTCGCACAGCAGACATGGTAAGAGATTGCTTCTTGTTGATAAAATTTTCTACTAGTGATAAATGTTTGTTGTGAATTGTAGGATGATGTGGGGGGCTGATCCTTGCCGCTGTTTGCAGTATTACTTATCCAGCCATCAGTGCATATGTATCGAATTATACGGAAACTGATAAGCAAGGTATTGCTGATAGCTCTTAATGTGGTCTTCCTGTCCCTTTTTTTGTGTAAAACACTGTTACACACCCGTAGCATGTGTGATTATGGTGAATTTAATTTATTGGGAGTTGCGGTCAATAGGTTTGCTGTTGCAGGTTTGGTTCAGGGTGTTATAACTGGGATCCGGGGTTTGTGTAATGGTCTCGGTCCGGCTGTTTATGGGTTGATATTCTCGCTCTTTCATATGGATATGAACGAAAAGAAATTCGGTGAAAGTAATCCGGCCAGTCTGCACAAAATGAAAATTGGCAATGCCACTGCCACACCGTCAGTGTCCAGCAAACAAGTACGGCCACTAAAACATGCACGATAAAATAGAATATGCGTAATTACTTACGCTTGGCTGGAATATTGAACTCTGTAGTTACAGTTTTGCTGACTCTTTAAAAAAAATATGGTTTTGCATTAAGTTTTTTCATGTTACAATAGCAAAACATTCGGAAGTCCGCCAGTAAAAGTTTCTCTGTTTGCAGAGTATAATACCGTCCCCTTTTGTTTTCGGCGCTTTTCTTGTGATATGCGCTTTGCTTATGTCTGCGTGGATTCCGGAACTGGTATTTCCTGACAAACCAAAACGGCCAAAACGGTAACACCCACCATGAGTTTCGTGGCCGATGACGAAGACGAAGAGGACGTCGAGGTTTACAGGAAAGAGAATATATCCAGGTTCGAAGGCAGCACGCTGATCAATTTTGATTAATGTTGATTTAGATATGCTCTATGCTTTGCATACTGTGCCACTGTGTTGAGTTCCTGGGCTTATTTTTTCTAGCGTCTTAATTGTAATTTGGGACAGCAGACTCGAATATTAATGAATACGTTTTACTTGTCCGTTGATCATTGCCGTCTCTGTTGGCTTGGCAGTTTCGCAAGTGCAGTGAGCGGTCGAAGGAATAAAGTAGTGCTCAAGCAATTAAAATTTTAAAAATTGTGTGAATCACTGTTCTGTAAGATACGGAACCGTACGGCTATTAAGTGTTAACAATGTCTTGTGATAATTTGGGTAATAATGAATCATTTATACTAATTTGTATTTACGAAGCTGACTTTACGCGTGAATAATAATACGCGGTCAAATGGTTTTTGATACAACTACCTGTAATAAATCTTAATTTTTGTTGTTAATATTCTGTTTATTTTAATAGTTTTGGTTGACTTACCATATTATTGCGTCGCATACTAGAGTACAGAAGTGTTTCTAGGGTGGCGCACATGCGTATGGTATTTAATATTCACCTCATGTGACCAGCGAAATTTTCCTGCCAGGTTCGCTGACATTGAATTCTGTTGTTGTTGGTTTCGGTTTCGGTTACCAGTTTTCCTAAGGCGTTTACTACAAAAGTACGCTTACACTAATTGACTGATAAGCGAATGCGATGATGCACCGCATCTTTACCAAAAACATCAATAACCTCGTTCGTGTCCACGAGGCAGCGCGTGGCTCTTCTGGTTGTGATCACAATGCTGCATGGTTGTACCGTATTTAGCGTGACGGAACCAAAAAACAAAAACAACGAATTATGATTTTTACATGATCTGCATCCATAGCTTAGTAGACAGTCACATGGAAGGTTACAAGTTCCGATCGTAGCGAAACCGAGCTAGCTAATTACACTTGTTTAGTAAAGGGTAAGTGAACAATTTTATGTCGCAGGTGACTTTAGACAAAGTAATGGATTGGTCATTCGTTCAACAAAGCACAATGATATCGTACGAGTATTAAATCTGTTGGAAAGAATCGTTGTATTAAGTTTTTTAGTTGCTTATTTTCATGAGCCGCGGCTGGATTTTGATGAATAGAATGAACAGATTATCCTGTGGCGATCTCGCATTGTGGAATACTGTTTTACTTGCCTCAATTATTACATGTGTCCACCGCACTCACGCAATCGGTGTCCGTGTTACTAGCCGCACCAACAAAGATGGTCAGCACCACTTAAATGTGGCGGATGTAAGTTTTGGGATTTTGAAGATTGTTTGAGTCCGGCCAAAGTCTCCTTTAGCAACGTATTTCCGAATCTGGAAAATGAAATGATAGAAATGGAACTGCATGCTACACATGTGGATGATAATCTGACTTACTGGACGAAAACCACGCTGGATACGGTAAATTTCCGTGGGTTGGTTGAAATGGATTTTCAAGGGAATCGCGATTCATTTGTATTCGATCTTATCAAAAGAAGGCCTTTCGTATGTTTGGTAAGTGGTGAAATCGTGTACAATTGGTGTCAATCAGTAATTGTTTACTTGTTTGTACCTGCGTCGCGATATTTTCTTTTTTTATCTCACTCTCTATAATTTCTGAATTAATTGCACCAATAATATTATTGTAAGTATTTATTGTGCTGCTAATATTTATTATGATTACAAGTTAATTCGGATCTGGCAGATACGTACCTCGCTTTCTACGGTATTTGACACTATGACAATTGTAGTAATGTGCATGTGTGCATATGAAAGTACTTATCGTATTTGTTTATAGGTACTACCCTACTCGTAGTAATTATATCCAGTAGTATTTACGATAGAGTATTACTACTTACTTCCTTCCTCCGAAGTGCGCCCTCTTGCAAGAAAAAAAAAAAACGGTTTAATACGCTTAATATGGTTTAATGTGCGTAAAGATTCGCTTCGATTAAAAATTTTGTAGAAAATGCGCGTTCTCTTGTATGACGGTTACCCGGAAATGCGTCGGTAATATTTTAAAGAACAGAACTATCTTAATTTTTGTAAATTTTGTTTAATTTTTTGTAAATTTATGTTTTTCTAAATTTATTTTTGTTTAGCTTGCCATGGAAATTGTTTTAATAATGATTTGCTGTTTCGTAATACTGTATAGATATTATTTAATCGCTCAGTGCCAGAACGGATAACGGCAATTTTCGTTTCTTGCGCTTCGTAGGTTTTCAGGCAATCGAATGTGTAGGGAAGAGCCGATGGAAAGCACTTCCTGCAATCCGCTGTCCTATTTCATTCTACAAACAGCCAACAAGACATTGACGGATTGCAGTTTTCGTGCAAGCACACCCGCCGCCGATACCCTCCTCCAGTCTGGAAGGGATACGGTGGGGCTTGGCATCAAGAAAATGGAAACAGTGTCTACGTTTCCAACAAAACCAAATGCATTTTTCTATCTGGTGAAATACATTTTTCGTCCTGCATCCTTCAGCTATTCCAATAGTAAGTTGACTGCCTTTAATTAATAATTGTTTGTGTATACAAAACACAATTACATGCGTTATGCTGCACTGAGCATATCATTATTACTCTATGTTTTGTGCGAAATAAAAGCGTGACGTTTATCTTTCTTAGTGATATAATACAAATATTAATAATAATTTGTATATGCTTGGTCATATTCACAGGCGATTTTTTTTGGGATTTTTAGGAAAATACACACCGGTACGAATAGAAACCACGATGCTACATCCAAATAATGGTAAATTATATGAAAGATCACAGTGTTGAAATATCTATAGTTCCATACTTAGTCTGTATAACCACAATGATGGCGATTCAGCGTACTCGATTATAAGTACTGTACCTTCTACTGCTCAAATTCGGATGGACCATTGCATTTTAGGAAAATCCGGAACAAGAAATTTGGTGGTCTTTGATTTCGTTTCTTTTTCATCTCATGCGAAGGATCGGATTTCTGATTCAGTGAGTTGTTAGTTGTAGCTCATAGTTAGACTTATCCGCTTATGTAAGTTTAGTTCATCGATTTGCACAGTTAGCGTAGTGGCTGTTAAATGTGGATATAAGGAAAATACTGTATGTCGGAGTTAGTACCGCCATAGCCCAGTAATACTACTACGTAGTACCGCCCTTTAATTATGAAAATAGCTTTTCTTTTAGCAGGGTGAAGATTGCTTTATTAATCTTATCCTAAACTGCGAAAGCACAATACTTATTCGAAATTATTCCTCGCGCTCGGATTGATTTAAGCTGCGAAGTCGTTTACTTTTGTATTTTCGGTTAACTCAATTTTAAAAAAACCAGTTTTCCCGTTAATTAAGACCGGAGAACAACGTTAACTATCTTAGAGTAGTGTATAAGAACTGGCTGAAGGACTGATTACTTATTTCAAAAAAAATTGATTTGAACGTTAGAAATATATATACAATACCTTGTGTTAGTATGTTTGTTTTAGTGCTAGTAGTGACATTCTAATTTTTATATGTATATTATCCACTAAGTAGACAATGAAGTGCGGATGTTTGAAATTTTTATTTTCAGACCATTCCAGCCAATGAATTGTTCTAGCGGAAGCAGTTTCAAATCTGTTTCTTCGACATCGATATCGACAACGACCAAGAGGCGAACAACGTATAGAAAAGGTTAGCGATCCGACGATTGGCAAGGTGGAATCGTTAAGTTGAACCCACACCGTCGAATAAGCCCAACAATCAACTGTGGTTCTGGCTGTAGTCGATGTACAGTAATTACAACTGCCATGTTCAACATTTGCAGTACAAAGTAGTTATGTGTCAGCAAGCCTGTACAGGTTTTTTGATTTTTTTTACGATAGATTTGTATATCTACATTGTGCAATGTGTAAACTTAATGTACACATTGCACGTGGTTTTGTTTAATTTAATTTATTGCATGCGCACAGTCCCTTATCAATTGCAAATTGGCTTTTGCGGGATTTTCTGATAACTACTGTTGATCTAAATACGTTTTATGAATTTCTGTAAACAGAATGACACTTTAATATCTTTTGGTTTATACACTCGTACGTAATTTGTAATAAGCCATAATGTAATATGTCATAATTATGTACGATATAGATCTAAGAAAAGTATGGAGTAGTATTTCCAGTCCCGTACTTCATTTAAATATCGCTTATTCTGGAATGCTCGCTCAACAACTTTGGGATTAGCAAGACAGATAAAATTCAGCTTCATGGGCTATGCGGAGTGCAAGCTTCGAACGTGGGAATCATCCTGAAACCATTGTTCAGTCATGCTCTTTGATTACTGCAAGAGATACAAACGATCCCTTTCTATAGTACAAGTACTGTAATTTAACGCAGGTGACACAACCTACGCAGCAGAATGTTATTCTGGCTTGAGCTAACATTATTGTTCAGTCAGCCGACCAAAACGTGAGCACGGGAGCAGCGGCTCGGTTAGCTAGCTCTCAAGGTCACGTCCTTAATATGAACCGGAAGGCAGGATTATTTTAAGGCGTGTGATAAGCGCATCCATATACGCTGTGGACATGATGAACCGTAAGTGTTTAAACACTACGAATGTATACAATACGCATGTACGATCGGGCGCGATGTTTCTGAAGCACACCAGCGTTAACGCTTTGATAGGCCTGCCACATTGGCTTAGTTAACGTGAGCAACAATTCCTTGAATCCTTCGGTATGATTTTTTTCGGAATTACACTTTAACACCAGTGCGTACAGTGCACGGGTGAGCGGAAGCGGGTGGGGTGTGCATTTTTCTGGACCAATCGCCATTCGGAACCGCATTCCACCCGCTCGAGTGTCCAATCAGCGTGCTAATGATATCAGTCGCACTGGAATGGAATGAATCAGCGGAACACAAAATGTGAGAAGGTTGCCAATTCCAACAGGAGTCAAAAGACAACATTGGGTACTTGCAATGCAACCCATAGCGTAAAAATATCGCACACTGACTTCGAAATCACGCTTGCTCGGCAATCGTATATCTTACAGTAATTCGCTTGTTAAGATTTCGTGTAATGAACCGAAGTTTGTTTGGGAAATTGATACAATAATTAATACAATATCTTCAGTTCACAATTTTACGAGTGG